TTGCAATGACGAGGCCCTCCGGGCCTAAAATATAAAATTTATTTATTTATTACTACTCCTGTAGCATTGTACTATGTATTAGCATCACTAGTATTACTGATATGCCCAATGGTTTCGACAATATTCTCAGAGACAAGACTGCTATCGTCCTTAATACTACTCATTTTGGTACTACTAGTCTTTTCGTATTGAACTTCTAATCGGTAGCCTTACTAATGTCACTATCACTGGTATTCTACTACTCCTATAGCATTGTATTAATTTTTCTACTACTCTACTGTGTTTGTCTGATATTTGTTATTGGTTTTCTGTTATATTGTTTGCTATTTCCTTTGTTGCTGCACTGTTGTCTTTTATTATCATATCTGTATTATTTGATTAGCATTACTGTCATTATCATTCTCATCTTACCGGTAATTGCAGTGTTCCATTACCAATATAAATAGCATTAACCTTGTCATTTCTAAAGCGTAGATATTTTATTATTAATAATGTTATTGACAGTACAAGTCACGCCAGTAGTACTACCAGCAACTATGCGCTCTAGCACTATAATTTGTATCAGCACTATTGGAAATATTGCCTCTACCGCCACTACTGCTGCTCCCATCCCCATTTCCCACTCTACTCCCCTCCCCCCCCCAAAGTCTCAAAAGTCCTACAGTGAGGGCAACATGCAACCCCGTAGGCAAACCGAACCACAGGGTCGTTTTCTCACTAAACCCATATACTTGACCCATAGTGGAGTTCGACAGCCGTTTGGGATGCCTCATCAGCCCTTTTTAGGCATAGCCCTGCTTGCCTCTGCAAAGAAGGGCGAGCTAGAAGAGGTGATCGAAAAAAATGCTGGGTCACGACTTCTGCCAGCGGACCGTGGCCGACAGGCTGAAAAACCTGCGGTCGAAACAACCAAAAAACAAACCAAACTCTTTCTGTTCCTCACGCCCTTCCTCTCCTCTCTCATCTCAAATAATATCTGAGGGTTTAGGGTACGTCCCATTACACTAGTATCTTGGAATGTCAGCTCTCTCCTCGATAACCCGAAGAGCAACCACCCGGAACGGAGAACAGCGTTTGTCGCCCGGGAACTGGCGCACTTCAAGGTCAACATCTCCACCCAGTGAAACCCATTTCTCTGACGAAGGCTCTGTAGATGAGGTGGGTGCCGGTTACAACTTCTTCTATCGTGGCCGCCCGAAGGCAGAACGACGCGAGGGCGCCGTCGCCTTTATCACCCGGACCGACATCGTGGGACGTCTACCCGGTTTGGCGCAGGACAGTAATGATCGCCTGATGAGACTCCGCCTACCTCTTTGGGGTGGAAAATTCGCCACAAACTTTAGCGTCTACGCCCTCCAATGACTAGCTTCGACGAGACGAAGAACAAGTTCTACGAGGATCTGCACACCCTCCTTGCGACTGTACCGAAGGCATACAAGTTGATTGTCCTTGATGACTTCGGCGCTCGCATCGGAACAGACCACATTGCCTAAAGAGGAGTGCTGGGTCCCCACAGTCTCCGCAGACTCTATGACCATG